GCGATTCCCACCGCCACCTTCCCGGGCCTTGAGTAGCACCGTGTTCGCTACGATGTTCTCGAGCTCCAAGGGATGCGGCGCCGCCAGGCCCGCACGCGAGAGCCGGGGCTGGATGGAGATCAGCGCGGCTCAGCTTGACTAGCACTGACTGCGCCGCTGCCTCCCCGGCCGCCGCCACCGCCAGTAACAGCACTTTTATTTCTGCCTTTTTCATCATTCCCCCGCCCTGCTGAAAACAGTGCTGTGAGGCTGAGGATGATGCAACTCTGCTGTGCTGCAGGGGAAGTGGAAACCTGCACAACACCTCGGAAAAACAGACATGCATCAATGTGCGGGTTCCTGCATTATCTTGCAGAACTAGACACTTCCATGCGCCAAGCAGCAGCAGATGCAGGTGTTCGCACATGTGCCCCAGACACATGGACAGAATGTACACAAAAGCACTGTCCCTAAGAACAAATGCTAGACACTCCCCAGGGCTCAACACAATTCGTAAGAGGAAGCTACTTTATAGAGCTATGTAGACAAACAAACAATGAAAATCCATTACCTACAGCTGCAATCTGTGGGGAATAATCTCAGGAATACTCTGGGTCAAAAGAAGTTACAGAATACAGACTGCATCGCGTAACACTAAAACTTTCATGTACTCAAAAGACATACGTGGCATGGACTCACGATCCATCTGTAACTGAAGGTGTATTTAATGACACCATCTTTGTTTCTCTCTCTCTTTTTTTACAGGGATCCTGCTCTGTCACCCATGCTGGAGGGCACTGGCGCCATTACAGCTCCCTGCAGCCTTAACCTCCTGAGCCCAAGCCATCCTTCTGCCTCAGCCTTCTGAGTAGCTGAGACTACAGGTGTAAGCCACTGCCCCTGGCCTATTCTTTTTTCCCCCAAAACGTCTCAGCAGAATGGTATCTCTCTCGTTAGCTGTAAATAACAATGTGCCCCATCGTCCATGGCATCAGAGAATAGATGAAATACAATAAAAGCAACATGCTCTTGGCTCTCGATGGACTTACTGCTACTGGTGTTTTTGCAGGAATAAGTGAAGCCGATGGGTTTGAAAACAAAGACCCAAGGCTGTCCGCGCCCAAGTGTGCCAGTCATTCAGGGACACCCTGCTGCCCTGGCCAGGGGCCGACACGTGGGAAGCGGCCACTCGTGCTATTTGTAGTCTGAACACTTGACGCTTTCCCCTCATGATGCCCAAAGACAGCTAGACCAATGTGTGGGGATAAAACACTGGAGGACAAGGCCAGATACATGAAGACATGCTCCATTCTGACCTGTCAAGTTTCAAAATACATGTGGGGCCGGGCGTGGTGGCTCACGCCTATAGTCCCAGCACTTTGAGGGGCCGAGGCGGGTGGACTGCCTGAGTTCAGGAGTTAGAGACCAGCCTGGGCAACACAGTGAAACCCTGTCTCTACTAACATACAAAAAATTAGCTGGGCATGGCGTGGGCGCCTGTAGTCCCAGCTACTTGGGAGGCTAAGACAGGAGAATCGCTTGAACCTGGGAGGCAGAGGTTGCAGTGAGCCGAGATCGCGCCACCGTACTCCAGACTGGGTAACAGACCAAGATTCCATCTCAAAAAAAATATATATAAAAAGTGGGGTCTGAGTATTAATGCAAATAGAAAATTTTACGAAGTTTTTAGCAATTCAACCCTAAAATAGTTATGTATAAAACTGTAAAATGTTTCTAGATAATTTCATTATTTGGATTTTGAAAAAGTTTCTTGTAGGATGACAAACAGCTGTGTACTAAGTAAATGTCCTCTGCTGAGGGGTGACCCAAGGAGGGGTGGTCTAAAGCTGCTTTTAGGGGACGCTGGGATTGGGAACAGCAGTTACAACAGTCCCTGGGTCTTGCCCGCCAGTCCAATTCTAGTAAAAACTAGGTGTCTGTCTAAGTCTTCCACCAACATAGCTAAGTTTAGTCTGTTTCTGCTATTTCAGGTATTGAATCTATTGTCCCAGTCAGATTCTCGACGAGTGGAAGCATCTAGGAAGCATCTTCGGCTGACGGCCGGAGGCCATGCAGCATGGCCGCTATTCCCTTCTCTGGAAGCAGCAGCCTGGGGGGCTCAAACGCTCAAGTTCAAGTCTGTGTTCTCTGTGAAGTTATACAGCCTTCTACGCTCAGTTTCCTCATTTGCAACATGAGGCTGAAGAGCTCAGTACCCACTGCCCAGGGCTGCTGTGGGCAGTGACTGGTAGGTTTTTAATGCTCACTCCTCCCAAGCTGCGGAGAACAGAATGCACTTGGCATGGAGCTTTCTCCTGGAAGGCAGCCCTCCTCAGGCAAACGTAAGCAAGATCAGAACCTGGCACCACCTCTTGACTCTCACATGAAAGGAAGGAAATCCACCATGAGTGGTGCTTGCTGCCCGTCGGAGACAGCAGGACAATCTGCGTCACCTACGGCAGACACCGCCCTGGGCGGCAGCAAGATCTGGAGGTTTGTGAGAGAAGCGATTCCTTCCCATTATTTGTCAACTCCCCCATTTAGTCTCAAAATGAATTCAAGAACCACCACTAGAATTAGGCATTCTGCCTTCCCGGACAGAATTTGTTTTCTAAAATGCAGATCTTTAGATCTTTACAGTATCCAGCCGGGCGCAGTGGCTCAGGCCTATAATCCCAGCGCTTTGGGAGGCCAAGGTGGGCAGATCATGTGAGGTCAGTAGTTCAAGACCAGCCTGGCCAACATGGTAAAGCCCCGTCTCTACTAAAAATTAGCCAGGCGTGGTGGGTCATGCCTATAATCCCAGTTACTCCAGAGGCAGACGCAGGAGAATTGCCTGAACCGGAGGTTACAGTGGGCCAATATCGTGCCACTGCACTCCAGCCTCAGCAACAGAGCAAGACTCCGTCTCACAAAAAAGAAAAAACCTTTACAGTATCCACCAGGCATGCATTTAACAGAGAAGACGTGACCTACGTTTTGGAATGGTCAGAGACGTGGTGATGCGCTTGAACCCCAAATGGGAGAAAAGTCCATTTCTGAAATCCTGTTTGGTTTCCAGGATTCTAGAAAAGGTACATGGACAGAAACAGGAAGGTACAGGCTTCTTTACTCTCTTAAGCCACAGGCCACAGGGGAAGCAACTTTGCCTGCCAGGGACCTTCAAGCACTGTCTGAAGAAAATTTTGAGAATCACAACTGGGGGTAGGGTTGCTGCTAACATCTACTGTGCAGAGAACACACCACTACAGATGGCACCAGTGAAAGGTGGAGAGCTCCCGTTCTGAACCACATAGATTCTTTTCGATTCAGGGTTGGCCTGCTAACCCAGTGCCCATCCTGGGCTTTTAAGGACTGGCTTTCTACCCTTTGCCCTATGCACCCGACTTGCAAGTTCCCCTGAAGATGTCTCTCGTAAAAACTTAACGTTTTACTGGACCCCAGCATGAGGCTCCTGCAGACCAAGGCCACATCCTGCACCACTCCAAGACAATGCAGGCCTCTGGCCCTTGAGAAACAGGTCTGCCCTTGAGAAGAAGGGCCTCCAGAGGACAGGCTCTCAGCCCGGGTCTCTGCTGGCCTTTCCTTGGGTTGGTGATGGGATTTTTCATTCCTGTGGTCTTCTCTGGTCATATGAGGCCCAGGATGAGATACACTGGACACCTCTCTGTAACGGGTTCCCCAGGACCACAGGTGCCACCGAAGACATTTTGTGTCACATAAACCTAGACATGTCAGTTTCTGGTAGTAGCACAGATTATGTTGCCTGTGTTGAGAAAAGATGTCAAAAAATCAAATCAATAGTCCACTCTTTCCCATGACAAAAGGGCTAACAGAGGCCCTCAACAGGTTTTCCTGTGGCCGACTGCCCAAGAGGGCTCACCCAACCCACCTACACACGTGCCACGGAGGCTTCTGACTGGGAGAGCTCCACAAACGTGGAACAGCCACTCTTCAGAGAAAAAGCCCTGTTCCCAAAGAGGACTCCTGGCAGACCACAGCCCTGCTGCTGAGACACGTGCTTCACGGCTCTGAAATCCCCACGTGGAATGACCTCCTGCTCCATCAGCTGAATTGTGTCAAAGTCCAGGCAACTTGTGAGTTGGCCTCTCAGGTCAGGACGGGAGCACTCTGTCTTCACACCTGGCCCACCATGGCACACCGAGTACCTAAGGTGCTGGGCTGAAGGCTCAAAGAACCGGGACAGTAACTGAGCTGGAAGAGGTCAGAATGGTTGCCAAGTTCAAAACCCTTGTTTTGCTCAGGATAACACAAACCCAGGGTGTGAAGGGACTCCCCCAAGCTATACGCAAAGCATGCCAATGACCAGAGGCCTTACCCAGGGATCACACATCAACAAGGCCCCAGTGTGCACCACGCGTGCCACCAGCACAGCCCCATGACTGCTGAGGGGCACATGACACCATCAGGAGCACGTGTTAAAATTCACACAAACTCTTGATTTCAGACACCACAAGCCAATATGAAGCCAAGGAAGGCAGTTTAAATAACAGTATAAGTTTTTTTTTTTTTTTTGGAGACAGGGTCTCACTCTGTCGCCCAGGCTGGAATGCAATGGCACGATCTTGGCTCACCGCAACCTCTGCCTCCCAGGCTCAAGTGATTCTCCTGCCTCAGCCTCCTGAATAGCTGGGATTACTGTTACAGCGAGCACCACCAAACCCGGCTAATTTTTGTATTTCTAGTAGAGACAGGGTTTCACTATGTTGACCAGGCTAGTTTGGAACTCCTGACCTCAAATGACGCACCCGCCTCAGCCTCCCAAAGTGCTGGGATTACAGGCGTAAGCCACCATGCCCAGCCCGTAAGATGTTTCTTTGTGTTGAGGGAGGGCCTCTGGACCCAAGAGTCTCTGAAGGAAGTTGTGACCAGTTGGTCAGGGTGTGAACATCTCCCTCCCTTTTGCCCAGAACCAGTTTTGGGCAAAAGCAATGCTGCATTGCTATTCTCCCTTATCAAACAGAACCCTGGTGTTCCTATGTGACTGGTAAGGGACCTACCTCCTCCCTGCATCATCTTGTAGATTTTGCTCTCAATGTGGAGCTGAGGGTGTTTGGTTTTGACACATTCAAGCTTGATGGCAACTTCTTCTCCTGCAGCAATGTCCGTACCTTAGTAAAGAAAGAAAACCACGAACAGGAATTAACCTGGTGTCCACCAAATAACCCAACGTGCCAGAGAAACGACAAACATTATGTGAGTTTTCCAAGAAGGACCAAGTGATGGATGCTTTCTCCTTTCTAGCGTAGTAAGGTGGGCGCATCGGCTGATACATCTCTGGGGAAAGTTATCCTTGTGCCCACTTTTACAATAGGAAGAATCTGAACGGCACAGAAAGCCTGCGCTGCTTCCATCGCCTGCCCGCCAGTCTCAAGGAGCTGCAGCTCCCTCTTGCACAGTGGCCCCTCTGGTCTGCGTCCTCCATCAGCCCTGCCCAAGGGCCCCTGCACTCACCCACCCCAGACAGCCTGTGGTCGAGCTCCGGAGCACACTGCCTTGATAGGCCTCTGGGGGTAGTTTGAGTTTCCCTCTGAGTAAGGGCTGGGTTTCTACCCAACAGCCACAGCCCCAGTCCACCCAGCCCTGGCACTGCAGGCAGCGGGAGTCACCTCCAGTCAACCCAGGCAGAGGAAGGCCCTTCTCCCTTCCTGGGGACACGAAGCCAGAAGAATCGCCTGTTTTCAAAGCCCTAAATGCACTACCTATCAGCACACACAGATCACACATCTTTCGTTTGTGGCTAAAACCAATGACATGTCTAATAACATGACGACTGGCCTATGAGTTTGGAGGCAATATTACACTTTTTATCTAGAAATGTTCATCACTGCTTTACTCCAGTAAACAACAAATCTGACAACCACCTTCCCTCTCAGATTCACCCACAAATACTCCTGAGTTTGAATCTGGCCCAAAGCCTTCCCCCATCCACTGCATGAAGCATCCAAGGAGCCGTAATCGAAGAGAAGAGAAAAAGACGCCACATACAGCACATACCCAGCTCTCCACTCCCCTCACAGGTCCCTTCAGACTGTAAGACACTGGAATCCTTCCCAACTGTGTGGTTAAGTGCAAAGTAATTAACACCGGCTCCAGCAGCCCAGACAGAGCCCTGGGAGACTGTGCTGGGCAAAGCGACCTGGCTAGTCCTTAGTGACTCAGTTTCTCTTGTCAATGGAGATCAGTGGTGAGCGCTGGTGTCTGTTTCATGAGAGTTGTGGAGATGAATGAGTTAAGAGTTTCTCATATAGCTCTTTGAGATTACCTGATGAAAGGCAGGGGTAAGGTCAAGTGAGCACCAGAGCAGCCTGCTGATACCCACATACGTCCACTGAACACCCAAGAACCCCCTAGCCTGGCCAGATGGCGACATGAGACGTGCCACTTCCAGCCTGGGCCCAAAACCCATCACCACTGCTTCGTTCCATAGGAATCACCACCATCTGGTCACCACCAATGACCATCTTAGATTTAAGAATGTCACTTACTATCAACAGAGACTCTTCAGGACACTCCAAAGAAAGAGGTAATAAATTTTGTTCTTCCTGCCTACAGCTGGGACAGTCTATCCAATTACAAGAGAAATGACTTCATCGAAAAATGTACTGTGCAAATGAAAAACAAACTCTGAGTTCCTTTAAGGACCTGGACTCTGAACTCAACTCGCCAGCCGGGAGGGAGGGTGACTCATCCCATGTAGTTATGTCAGCAGCTCCTTGCACCCCCAAGCAGGCACAGCACAGTTTTGGAGAGCAGTGCCAGCCTCACCAGCTGGCAGCCCACTGACCCCAGGGCCTGGGGCTGATGGCTTGGGGCCACAGAGTCTGCTGACTAGCATCTCTCACTCCACTTCTCCGTAGCTGATAGAGCTAATGCCTGCCAGTCACACCCACTACATTTACTGTCTTGGGGCAAGTAGTCACCAGCCACTCTGGCACATAACACGAATCACATCCTATCACGAAGCCAGGAACACTCACTGTGCAAGCACACAAAGCCAGCCCTCCTATGGAACCAGACACCGAGGTCACCCTCAATCTCTAGAGCGGAACAGCTGGATGCAGGCCCTGCACACAGATGTGAGGGCAGCAACACTCTGGGGCCTCCAGACTCTGGGGTCACCTGCTGGGCAGAAGCACCAGGCAGCAAGGCATCAAGGTCTGTCCATTCCCGTGGGTACCACCTGCCTCAAGGTCGCTGAGCACTGCTCAGACCCCCTGGCCTGCAGCCCTGTCCCACCTCCCCCACCAGGGGCACCCCCACACTCTACCAGTCATCCTGCTCAAAGTCGGGTCCTCAAGCTGCCATCAGTCCAGAAGGCTGCAAGGAGGCGCTGAGTAACTGTGACGGCTATCTGGCATTGCTGCAGCATTTTGACCTTATCACAGACAAGTTTTGGTGTGCAAACGATTAAAAATTACAAGCCCGGTCCTTTGCCAACAGGTTAAGTCTGAGAAGTACTACTATAAGGGGAATGAAAATTTGAAAGAAGCTGGACTCTGGGTCTCAGATTCAGAACAAACCAAAACCTGGTGACATGCAGATCACCAGGTTGTCTGGGTTGTCTGTTTATACAAAGGACATTCTATCAACCAAACAACCTCAACTCTTCCCCACAGCTCAATAATCCTGGTCTGCTGTAGACAGGGCTTTCCTCAGTCCATGTTTGGGTATCAGTTAACATAAGCCCTAGGAAAGCCAAATTACATCCCTCAAGTTCAGCAGCCAAAAACCAATGGCAGCTGGGTGTGGTGGTTCAAGACTGTAACCCCAATACTTTGGGAGGCTGAGGCTGACCTATCACTTGAGGTCAGGCATTCTAGACCAGCCTGGCCAACATAGTGAAACCCGACCTCTACTACAAATACCAAAAAATTTGCCAGGCTTGGTGGTGAGCTTGTAACCCTAGGTACTCAGGAGGCTGAGGCAGAAATATTGCTTGAATCCAGGAAGTAGAGATTGCGGCGAGCCTGAGCCGAGATCGCACCATTGCACTCCAGCCTGAGCAACAGAATGATATTTTGCCTTTTTTTTTAAAAAAAAAAAAAAAAAAAAAAAAAAAGCAGATAGTGGCCGGGCACAGTGGCTCACACCTGTAATCCCAGCAGTTGGGAGGTGGAGGTGGGCAAATCATGAGGTCAGGAGTTCGAGACCAGCCTGACCAACATGGTAAATCACGTCTCTACTAAAAATACAAAAATTACCCAGGCATGGTGGCGTGTGCCTGTAATTCCAGCTACTCAGGAGGCCAAGGCAGGAGAATTGCTTGAACCCTGGAGGTGGAGGTTGCAGTGAGCTAAGATCGCACCACTGCTCTCTAGCCTGGATGACAAAGCAAGATTCTGTCTCAAAAAAAAAAAAAACAAAAAAAAAAAACAAGCAGATGGTGAATTAAGTGAACCTAACCAGAATGTGACCCTGTCCTAGCACAGGAGTGTAATTCTGAATTACCAGCCGGGATGCTGGCAACTCCCATTAAGGATTGCTTTATCAACAGAAAATCAGGGAGACGCCTTGAGCAGCAGGACAAAGGTCACTTGACATGGCAACAGTTAGCAGTGCCACGACTTCTCATTACAGATGCTTGAGTTCAACACAGACTCCAAGGTAAACAGAGGCCAGGCCTCAACACTGTAGTGAGGAGACCCTGCAAGCCAGAGCAAGAACAGGTGACCGCTCTCCTCTCACACTGGTCAACATCCTGGGGCTCTACTGCATGCCAGGTACCCTGCAGGGTGCCTCTCAAGAATAAGTCAGTGAGGGAAAAATGAGAACTTCAGAGATGAAGCAGTCAGCTCCCAAAAGATGATCATGTGCATTATCAAGCCAATCCATTCAGGTAACAGGTGCTAACGGCGGCCCTGACAAGCTAACGGTGTGATGGGGTGAAGTACAAATGCCAACAAATGCATCTGTCCAGTCCACTAGCCGGGTAATCCAGTCCTGCCACTAACCTCCAGAACACGCTACGGGAGAGGACAGAGGCCGGACCAACTGGGCTCTTAGTGCCTCTTATGCACAGGCCCCTGCAGGCACCGGTGAACACAGCAGGCCTCTGCCTCTAGCCTGGCCCAGCCGAACACTCTCCTTCCCCCAGACACCCTTGTGGTACTGGGGCTTGAACTCCTGGTCCACATTAAAGATGCTGGCTGTTTTCAAATGTTACCAAGTTTATTTTAAGTCCTACTCTGCCAGGAAAAGTGAAAAGACTTCTGGTTTACGGCCACACCACATGGACACAATGTGGAGGGCGGCACGGGGCTGGGGCCGGGTCACGCAACAGACTGCCAAGGTGTGCGCTTCACAGCTTGTGTGGGCTGTGCCCCAGCCTGCCCTCCCGAAGAATCTTCCGGATCTGGCAAGCTCAGACTGAGGACTGAGATTGTTCTTTTTGGGGTCCCACTTTCCAAAGCCTGGGCATTCAACAAATAGCCCCAAAATACTGCCTCCTTTGAAGGGGCCGTTTGGGAACCCGACAAGCTCTGCACAGCAGCCCAGCCCTCCAAATACCACAACAAGGTGGGGACAGGCAGGCCAACACCATGCTTCTAGCCTACAAGCACTGCAATGAAACACAGCCTTCCTCTCCTCCTGGTCTCAAACACCTGAAAGCACAGGAAGTCCCAGGTGGAAAACAAAAACCCAAAAGCCAGGCTCAGAGCAAGGTGAAGCCCACCTGAAGGAATACCAAAGTGACAGCAGTAGGAATGGTTTTAACTATGCTCATATGAGAATACACACGACACGCACAGGTCAAGACAAAGATCCAGTCCCTCGATTCGTGTGTAACTGGTTGCCCAAACCAACTATGGTGGAGATGATCGCATATTCAGATCAGCCATCTTGACTCTAACTGCTGCTCTGCTCAGACCCACACTTCCTCCAGCCTGCCTTACTCTGGGTAACATGACCACCTCACCTTTCATTTCCTCTGGGGGGGTTGTCTGAAAGGACCGAAATGCAGGCCAAGAGCCAATGCTGATGGAAAAAAAAACAAACCCGCTGTGCCCAACCCCACTCAAGTAACTGGACATGCACCCTGATGGATGGCTGTCTGAGGGCTCCAACCCCAGGGCGCCAGAGCCACAGTCGCCCGAAATCCCTAATCCCCTAATGGTTTCCAGCATGACTGCATGCCCAGCATGAGGTGAGGCCTGGAGGGTGCAACCATGAGTGAGCAGACAGCCGGCCACCTTCCAACTTTGTGAACGACTTGGTGACAACCACACCAGAAACTGTCTGAATCTATCTTTGGAAACCACAAAGTTGTTTTGACAAGGTCTCAAAGGAGTGCAGTAGTGTGACCTTGGCTCACTGCAACCTGCACCTCTCAGGTTCAAGTGATTCTCATGCCTCAGACTCCTGAGTAGCTGGGATTACAGGTGACCACCACCATACCTGGCTACTTTTTGTATTTTTAGTAGAGAAGTTTTGCCATGTTGGCCAGGCTGGTGTTGAACTACTGACCCCAAGTGATCTGCCAACCTTGGCCTCCCAAAGTGCTAGGATTACAGGTATGAGCCACTGCGCCCAGCCCAAAATACTTCTTTTTGGTGCCTGCCTAAGGGTGGTTAATGGACCAGCTTTGCAGTGCAACTCAGACTGTAAAGTTAAAACTTTTGCCAAAATCTATCATTCTATAAATAAGCCAAATGCCTTCCATTTACCAAGCACTCTGACTTCCAAAACACTGCCAAGAACACATCCAGCTGACCACCTGGGTATAAATGTTTAGTCAAACCCAAACACCTAAAGCCTGTTTTACTCAGCAGGCTGCTAAGGCGTATGTACAGGTTCAAAACCAACAACATGGCATGTGACAGGCTTACTCGGCAGGTTAACCAGGCACCCAAAATATGAGCCACCCAAATGTATGGGTTCAGGCTAACGCTGTCAGCCCACTGGGTCCTGAATCCTCTCTCAGGTGAAAAGTGGGAAGGGTATGAGATGTGGGGACTGTTCACATGCGGGTTAATAAAAAGTATGACCAGGGGCATTACTGACATCCCCCACAGGATTCCCGACCCTGGCTGTGCCCCAGCCAAACACACCCCAGAGCTGGGGCTGCTGGAACAGAGAACAGCTCCCCTCAAAGGTCTGCAGCAAGCCCTCTGCAAGTACACTGCCCACGAGGCTACACATCCTCAAGTTCAGGGGGTCTTGAAATAACTCGTGTATTGCACAACCCCACTGACAAGCGAGGAAAATTAAGTTACTTTAAAATTATGTACAAACTTGGGCCAGGCGTGGTGGCTCATGCCTGTAATCCCAGCACTTCGGGAGGCCAAGGGGTGGGGGGCGAGAAATCAGCTGAGGTCGGGAGTTTAAGACCAGCCTGACCAACAGAGAAGCCGTGTCTCTACCAAAAATAGAAAATTAGCCAGGCGTGGTGGCATACGCCTATAATCCCAGCTACTCGGGAGGCTGAGGCAAAAGAATCGCTTGAACCCTGGAGGTTGAGGTTGCAGTGAGCCGAGATCACACCATGGTACCTGGGCAACAACAGCAAAACTCCATCTCAAGAAAAAATTTTTTTACAAATTTGAAGATGTCAGCCAATCTTTCACTACACCGCGCCCACATGCATGTTCTTCTACTGTGAATACGACAACCCAGAACGTTCTAATCCCGTCTTTTTTTTGAAAACGCTAAAAGACAGCTCATGAGTACGACCACTTCGCGGGCCTCTCATTCTGCCGGCATCTTATCCCCGTGGGACTTTCTCTACCGTCACCATGCTTGCACATGAGCCCTTGCTCCTCTGCGCTCCGTCACCGCTCCGAGGCCTAGGGTCGCAGTGCAGAGAGAACCCCGAGCGCTCAGCCATCAGCGCGGCCGCGAGGGGAGGGCCAGCCCCGCTCCCAGCCAGGCCACTCCCCAGCTCCGCACGGCATTGGGGCTTCCTGGCGTTTTCCCCACGCGTGCAAGACGCAGGAGCAGCCTGTGACTGGGGAGCCAGACATCCCCGGGCAGGGCTGCGGGACAGGGAGCGTGGCCTTTGTTTACCGGGGTGACCTTAGGCGCGGAGGCAGCCGCCGCCCGCCCGCCCCCCCACGGCCCGCGGCCCCGTCACGCCCCGCCCCCCCCACGGCCCGCGGCCCCGTCACGCCCCGCCCTCCCACGGCCCCGCCCCTCCCACGGCCCGCCCCCCCACGACCCCGCCCCTCCCACGGCCCGCGGCCCCGTCACGGCCCCGCCCCTCCCCCGGGCCCGCCTCCCCACGCCCCACCCAGCCCTCCCCGGGTCCGCACCCCCGAGCCCCTGCCCCGCCCCTGCCCCCCCGTCCCCGTCCCCGCCCCCACCCGCGGCCCCGCGCCCCCACCCGCGGCCCTGCCCCTCCCCCACGTGCGCTCCACTGCCCTCCCCGCCCCGGCCGCGCTGGTCTGGTGGCCGTTGGGCTCTGGCGACGACCCGGCGGCGGCGGCTCGGGCGCAGCCCCCGCGGGGGCCGCCACTTCCTTCCGCGGTCGCGCCTGGTGTCGGTGGCCGCGGGGGCGGCGGGGCCTCACCGAGATAGATGTCTCCGAAGGAGCCGCTGCCGATCTTCCGGCCCAGCCGGTACCTGTTCCCGACTCTCAGCTCCATGGCGGCGGCGGTCCGGCTCGCTCCTGTCTTCCCGGCCGCTTCCTGGGTCTGAGCTCCGGGAGGCGGCGCCGCTGCTGCCGCTACTGCGGGTCCGGCTGCCGGCTCCGCCCCCCTCACGGCCCCGCTTTCACCATCGCCTTCCCGTTGCCCCGCCGCTCCCAGCGCTTCAATACGGGGCGGATGGGACAGTCCAAGCGCCGCCGCCGCTGCTCCGGCCCCTGCCGGCCCTGCTTGCCCTCTCCCTGCCGCGGATGGACTCGGATCTTCCGGGCCTGAATCCCCCTTCAGCTGCCTAAAGGAGCCGCCGCCATGGCGCTGTGACGTCACTTCCCCTAGCAACCCCCTCCGGCGGGGCGGGGCCGCAGTGCTCGGGGGCGGGGCCGGGCCCTCGGGGGCGGGGCCGCAGTGCTCGGGGGCGGGGCGAGCGCTCCCAGCCTCCTCCCGACCCTGAACCGTCTCACGGGGCCCCAGCCCCTCTGCCCGCCCGTTACCCCGGGACCTCGGGCCGCCAGCCCCTTCCACGTGCAGGCTCCCACCGCTCTCGCTGGGGCTTTTCGTGTGTCCCCCGAGATTTCGGAGAGCCAGGTGAGTTCCTGGCGACGGGCGGTGCCCTTTGCAGGAGGGAACAGGTAGCTGAGGCCCGGCCCAGGGGACACGGGTGAGACCTTCTCACTGGGCTGCCAGTTCCCGGGCGGGCGTGGGGCATCCCAGGACGTCAGCGTCTGCGGCTTTGCCTCCTGACACCTGAGGCCAGAGACAGAGAGGCCCGCACCCTGGGAGGTCCTGATGCCCGGCCTGAAGGTTGAGGGCGAGGCCACCACCTTTCACAAAATGAGGCCAGACCACCTGCCTCCCTGCAGTCCCTGCTGCCTGGAGACCAAGTCAACATTCATATCTATGTTGGATCTGAATATTCCTCCTTGCAAAAGAAAACAAGGATGTGCACGTTCAGGCTGATGGTCAGCTTCAAAGGTTGGTCCTTTGATTCCCATCACTGGGAAGAAAGCCCTCCAGAGAAGCCCCCCAGGCTGCGGTGCATGGGGACCATGAAGAACCAGTCCCCGTGGTCCCATTTCCACCTGTCTCGACCTGTCCCATCCTTGCTGAAACTCAAGAAGGTGATACAGGTGAATGCGGGCATTAGCATACCAGGGCTCTGGTGTGGGCACCACGGCCTAAGTGAGACAGAAGCCTCAGCCAGCATCTGGGTCACTGCAGAAGAGGAAAGCAGCCCCCGAAGGGCCTGGCAGTGGCACCCACCAGTCTCCATCCCCGTCTTTCCTCTCCACCTCTCAGCTCCCGTGGTGCAGTTGGAGGTCAGGTCGGGGAGGCAGGTGTCCATTCCTGAAGTTACAGAGCAGGGCCTGGGACAGGATGATGCAGTCAGCCAGACACCATCGGTCACTAACGAGGGACAGGCAGTCGGAGCCGCCCAGGTTCTGAGTTACAGAAGCATGCGGGGGGTGGGGGTGCGCCAGACTGGTAAAAATGACCTTGTTGGCAGAATCACTCACAGTTTTTCTGTTGATGAACAGAGCCCAGCTCACCCGCAGGTGACTGTGGTCCTTGTGATCCTTCCTCCTGGGGAGTCCTGCCCTCGCTGACCAGGGGCACCTGCCCACCTGTCAGCTGCTCCTCCCCTCGGCTGGTCGCCCTGGGTTCTGACGGCCCCAACATTTGTAGCTCTTCTCATCCATGGTGCCCCAAGCTTCATGCAGCTGCAGCAGGTACTGTGCCCATCTGCCTGGCTTTTGTGTGTTTGTGTCTTGACTCTAAAACCTGTGCACATGGACAGGGCTGTGGTGTGGTGGGGATGGTAGCCCTGGGAATGTAGGGCTGGGTGAGCTGAGGCAGGCTGATCACTGTGGCTCCCCCACCACCAGCCCCAGCCCCAACAAACTGACAAAGGAAGAGGACAGTGGTGCCCTGGAGCCCCTGAGACAGAGAGAGGAGGATGAAGCAGGTGTGGAGCCCAGCGAATGACACCACCCCTTCCAAGAAGACACAGACAGGACATCCTGCAGCCAGAGCCCAGGTTCTGAGCTAGAAAACTCAGCAGGGGCTGAAGCTAAGGACAGTCATTGCCGAGGAGCAGCCTGCGTCACAGAGGAGACGCTTGCACGGATGCAGTGACCAGGGAGGGATGAGGGCTGGTGACCTTGGGGAACAGGCGTGTGAGGTGCAGTCTCCAGGCGTGCTCTGAGGGGTGGTTTGATGATACTAGGACATCTCTCAGAGTAGAAGGACGTCCTGACCTGCAGACTGGGAGGCCCCCTGAGCTCCCGGCAGGACATATGAGGGAAGGCCCACACCCTGGCCCCTCCTGATATGTGGGTAACACCCACCATGGGCACCGAGGAAGGAGAACTGTCCAGACCCCAGGCACAACAGTGCCTGAAGAATATCTTAGTTTATAGTGTTATTGCTCAGCTGTTTCCTTTATATGATCCTGCATATATCATCACATATTAGTTTATAGAATTAGTGCCTGAAGTATAACTTACTGCTTACGTATACCTAGCTTATATAATCATACCTAATGCTTATATCTAGCATACTTAGTTCTGTATAATCTTTCTATATAATCATCTAGGTATTGTAGTCAGAGCTGTACTGACACATTCAGTGCTGATTTATAGAATCCTTCCATATAACCATGTAGTAGTCTGTAGAAGGAGGAATGCCCAGAGCAGTCACAGAACAGAAGCAGTACATGGGAAAACAGCCAGACCAGGACGAGAACCAGAAACCCCGGCAGTGGCGTCCCTGCCTGAAAGGGCATACGCCGTATGGCAGGCTTGGAGCAGGAGCCTCTCCTCCTGATAGAGGAGCTGTAGCACCTCGCATCCAGTTCCTGTGGAAAGTCGGCCTCAGGCTGAGATCCTGGAAATAACCGAGGGAGAGGAACCCCTCTGGTGTGACCAGTCATGGTGGCTGTGCACCCTGTCAGTCTTTTCTCACTTCTGTGCTAGCTCAAATCATCCTCCCATAAGTATCTTAAGAGAAGAGCACAAGTCTGCCAGCTCCCACTGCACTGGCTTACAGTGTCCTCCTATTAGAAATCCTTTGAAGTTGGCCGGGCGTGGTGGCTCACGCCTGTAATCCCAGCACTTTGGGAGGCCGAGGCGGGTGGATCACGAGGTCAAGAGATCGAGACCATCCTGGTCAACACGGTGAAACCCCGTCTCTACTAAAACTACAAAAAATTAGCTGGGCATGGTGGTGCGTGCCTGTAATCCCAGCTACTCAGGAGGCTGAGGCAGGAGAATTGCCTGAACCCAGGAGGCGGAGGTTGCGGTGAGCCGAGATCGCGCCATCGCACTCCAGCCTGGGTAACAAGAGCGAAACTCCATCTCAAAAAACCATTAAAAAAAACAAAAAAAAAAAAAAAATCCTTTGAAGTCTCCAGCCACCAGATAAGAAGTGTTGCACACGACACCTGTTGCACACAGCCCACCTCCTTGCCTCGGTGACCTAATGGGGGTGGACCCCTTTTTTGTACACGACCCTCTACTACTGTGCACAGCACAGCCCCCTACTGCACACAGCCCACCTGTCTGCCCAGGTGACGTAATGGGGTGGCCCCCTCGCTTGTGACTCACGTGATTATGTATGCCCTATTACTAAGCCTATAGATGATGACCTCACGCACAACCCTGCCCCTTGCGTGTACCTAATAAATACAGATGCTCTGGGGCATTTGGGGGCTGCTGCTGAGCTCCACTCACAGGTGGTGTGGCCCCCCCCCAAGTCCAGATGCTCTTCACCAGTTTTTCAGTGTCCTGTCTCTTTACCTCTTGGATCTTGCACCTCAGCACAGCATAAGGGACACCCCGCGACCCTGTGGGGCCTCAACGGCCCTATACTGACAGAACTCCAACACCACAGTGTCTTAGCTCATTTAGTGTTGCTATCAGGAAATACCTGAGGCTGGGCAATTTGTCAAGAATCATGATGTGGTTTGTGTATGTGTCCCCTCTATACCCCATGTTGAATTGTAAACCCCAAGGTTGGAGGTGGGGTGAGGGGTGACTGGATCATGGGGGTGGATTTCCCATGAATGCTGAGCACCACCCCTTGGTGCTGTCCTTGAGATAGTTCTCCCGAGGTCTGGTGTGGGGCGTCTCTCTCTCTCTCTCGCTCTCTCTTGCTCCTGCTCTGCCCACATAATGTACCAGCTCCCCCATTGCCTTCTGCCATGATCGGAAGCTTCTGGAGGCCTCCCGAGAAGCCGAGCAGATGCCAGAACCATGCTTCCTGTAAAGCCTGCAGAACCATAAGCCAAGTAAACCTCTTTTTCTAACTTATTTATTTATTTCGACACAGGGTTTCTGCTCTGTCACCCAGGCTGGAGTGCAGTGGTGTGATCTCGGCTCACTGTGACCTCTGCCTCCTGGGCTCAGGTGATCCTCCCACCTCACCCTCTAAGTAGCTGGGACTACAGGTGTGTGCCACCATGATGGGCTAATTTTTTTGTATTTTTTGTAGAGATAGGGCCTCACTATGTTGCCCTGACTAGTTTCAAACTCCTGAGCTCAAGGGATTCATCCGTCTTGGCCTCCCGAAGTTCTGGAATCATAGGTGTGAGCTACCGTGCCCGACCCTCTTTGCTTTTAAGATGGCCCAGTCCTTGCCCTTTACCCTGGCTGGCAGCGTGAAGGCGCATGATGCCTGGCATTGCCGTAAAAGACATGAACCGGCAGGAGTTCATCACAGCTCTGGCAGCCCTTCTCAAAAGGTCCAGGAAGCTGAAAGTCCCTGAATGGGTGGACACCGACGGTCAAGCTAGCCAAGCGCAGAGAGCTTGCTCCCTGTGATAAGAACTGGTTCTACACGCGAGCTGCTTCCACAGCACGGCACCTGTACCTCCGGGGTGGTGCTGGGGTTGGCCCCATGACCACGATCTATGGGGGATGTCAGAGAAATGGCGTCATGCCCAGCCACTTTAGCAGAGGCTGCAAGAGTCTGGCCCACCGGGTCCTCCAAGCCCTGGAGGGGCTGAAAATGGTGGAAAAGGACCAAGATGGGGGCCGCAAACTAACACCTCAGGGACAGAGAGATCTGGATGGAATCGCCAGACAGGTGGCAACTGCCAACAAGAAGCATTAGAACCATGCTCGGTTAATAAATTGCCTCATTTGTAAAAATAAATAAAATTGCTCAGTCCTAAGTGTTTTTTTATAGCAATGCAACCATGGCCGAACACAGCTCACGATGCTGAGATCTCAAAAGTCACAATCGGGCACCTGCCTCTGGTGAGGCCCTTGGGGGCTTCCGCACACGGCAGAAGGTGAAGGGGAGCCAGCATGTGTGGAGACCGTGTTGGAGAGGAAGCCGGAGGAGCACGGAAGTGCGGAAATGCAG